GAATAGTCTATAGTCTGGACTATAGAATAGTTTATAGTCTGGACTATAGAATAGTTTATAGTCTGGACTATAGACTAGTCTACAGTCCGGACTATAGAATAGTCTGTAGTCAGGACTATTGTATAGTCTATAGTCTGGTCTATAGTCTGGACTATAGAATAGTCTATAGTCTGGACTATAGAATAGCCTGTAGTCTGGACTATAGAATAGTCTATAGTCTGTACTATAGAATAGTTTATAGTCTGGACTATAGAATACTTTATAGTCTGGACTATAGACTATTCTATAGTCTGGACTATAGACGAGTCTATAGTCTGGACTATAGAATTGTCTATAGTCTGGTCTATAGACTAGTCTATGGTCTGGACTATAGAATATTCTATAGTCTGGACTATAGAATAGTCTATAGTCTGGACTATAGACTAGTCTATAGACTAGACTATAGACAATTCTATAGTCCAGACTATAGAGTAGTCTACAGTCTGGACTATAGAGTAGTCTACAGTCTGGACTATAGAATAGTCTACAGTCTGGACTATAGAATAGTCTATAGTCCGGACTATAGAATAGTCTATAGTCTGGTCCATAGAATAGTCTATAGTCTAGACTATAGAATAGTCTATTGTCTGGAGTATAGAATAGTCTATTGTCTGGACTGTAGAGTAGTCTTTATCAAAAAACTACATTTCTGGATCTAATTTCTCATTCTAACACTACCGGCCTTTTGCTATAGCGATCTAATCATAGTTCATAATAAAACCAAAAAAGCACCAAAAATCATAGATCGTTAAGCTCACGTAGCTACAAACATTTCTAAATAACTATGTCTGCTTTAGAATTATTTTTTGTTAAAAAAATGAATGTCTACACATAATTTTTGTTAATGTTAAATTTTTTTGTTGATTTCTTTATATTTATTTATTTATTTTTATACTGTCTTACGTTCTAGCTCACACCCCACATCCCCCCTCCAAAAGCCCTCTGCGCTCCCTTCCAAACATTTTCGTTTACTCTTACTCACTACGTATAACAGTACATATTTTCAGTGTCTACTAAAAAAATACAGTTTAAATGTTAAAAGATATATGTGTGGAAGTGTGTATGTCAGCAGCAGTGTGTGTATAAATGTGTTTGAGTATTTGTATATGATTTGAAAATAAACGAAAAAAAAAAAAACTATTTGACCCATTTTCATTATCAAGCATAAGATTAATTCTAAACAATACAAAACGTAACAGAATTAAATATACAAAAAAACAACAACAACAACAATTGTATAAATATATAATAAATAATTTTTATTGACTCACTTAGAGATACAAAACAGTGCGCTCGCTGCTTTTATGAGACACATGTTTGGTATCTAAACAGCAACAAAAACAACAACAAGAACAAAACTTAATGTTATGTATTGTTGTTGCAGCTGTAATCAAGTTTTTTTTATATATTAAATTTATTTTGTATAAAAACTGGTGGCGTTTTAAAATGCGTGAGTGTGAAGAGACTTTATTTAGAATTTTATTTAAACATAAATAAATGCATTTTTATAAAAAAAAACCTTTTTGTATACACATTAATGTATACAAACATAAGTATGTTTGTAATCATTTTTATATGTATGTACATAATTATGTTCTCTAAACTTAAGTGATAACAAAAGTTTGTTCTCTTTTCGCTTTTACTCTTCGCCACTAAAAAGCATGGGGGAGTTCTATGTTGTCCACATTATTACATGTGTAAATTGTAATAGTAATTTATGCGTTCGCCGGAGAGAGGAAGTGGTGAGATATCAAATGTATGAGAAGAGATATCAAGATTTGTTTATTTTACTTTCAAAGCTAAAGAAATTCTTTCTTTTTTCAAGTTTTTTGATCTTTCTTTTTGTTGGATTTTTGTAAAAATTTTCCACTGCTCTATTTAATAAATTGTATAAATTTTGTTTGATTACCTAACTTAAAAGATTTGGAAATCGAAAACAATCTTAATATCATTGAAATATTTGAAAGAGATTACATAATATGGACTATAGGAAAGGATTATAAAATAGTCTATAGTCTGGACTACGGAATAGTCTATAGTCTGGACTATAGATAAGTCAGTAGTCTGGACTATGGAACAGTCTATAGTTTGGATTATAGAATCGTCAATAGTGTGGGCTATAGAATAGTCTATAGTCTGGACTATAGAATAGTCTATAGTCTGGACTATAGAATAGTATATAGTCTGGACTATAGAATAGTCTATAGTCTGGACTATAGAATAGTCTATAGCCTGGATTATAAAATAGTCTATTGTCTGGACTATAGAATAGTCTATAGTCTGGACTATAGAATAGTCTATAGTCTGGACTATAGAAAAGTCCATAGTCTGGACTATGGAATAGTCTTTAGACTGGACTATAGAATAGTCTATAGTCTGGACTATAGAATAGTCTATAGTCTGGACTATAGAATAGTCTATAGTCTGGACTATAGAATAGTCTATAGTCTGGACTATAGAATAGTCTATAGTCTGGACTATAGAATAGTCTATAGTCTGGACTATAGAATAGTCTATAGTCTGGACTATAGAATAGTCTATAGTCTGGACTATAGAATAGTCTATAGTCTGGACTATAGAATAGTCTATAGTCTGGACTATAGAATAGTCTATAGTCTGGACTATAGAATAGTCTATAGTCTGGACTATAGAATAGTCTATAGTCTGGACTATAGAATAGTCTATAGTCTGGACTATAGAATAATCTATAGTCTGGACTATAGAATAGTCTATAGTCTGGACTATAGAATAGTCTATAGTCTGGACTATAGAATAGTCTATAGCCTGGACTATAGAATAGTCTATAGCCTGGACTATAGAATAGTCTATAGTCTGGACTATAGAATAGTCTATAGTCTGCACTATAGAATAGTCTATAGTCTGCACTATAGAATAGTCTATAGTCTGGATCATTGAATAGTCTGTAGTCTGGATTATAGAATAGTCTATAATCATGACTATAGAATAGTCTATAGTCTGGACAATAGAGTAGTGTATAGTATGGACTATAGAATAGTCTGGACAATAGAATAGTGTATAGTTTGGACTATAAAATAGTCTATAGTCTGGACAATAGAATAGTATTTAGTTTGGACTATAGAATAGCTTATAGTCTGGACTATAGAATAGTTTATAGTCTGGACTTTAGAATAGTCTGTAGTCTGGACTATAGAATAGTCTATAGTCTGGACTATAGAATAGTCTATAGTCTGGACTATAGAATAGTCTATAGTCTGGACTATAGAATAGTCTATAGTCTGGACTATAGAATAGTCTATAGCCTGGACTATAGAATAGTCTATAGTCTGGACTATAGAATAGTCTATAGTCTGGACTATAGAATAGTCTATAGTCTGGACTATAGAATAGTCTATAGTCTGGACTATAGAATAGTCTATAGTCTGGACTATAGAATAGTCTATATTCTGGAATATAGAATAGTCTATAGTCTGGAATATAGAATAGTCTATAGTCTGGACTATAGAATAGTCTATAGTTTGGACTATAGAATAGTCTATAGTCTGGACTATAGAATAGTCTATAGTCTGGACTATAGAATAGTCTATAGTCCGGACTATAGAATAGTCTATAGTCTGGACTATAGAATAGTCTATAGTCTGTACTATAGAATAGTCTATAGTCTGGACTATTGAATAGTCTATAGTGTGGGCTATATAATAGTTTATAGTGTGGACTATACTATAAACTATCGTCTGGACTATAATCCAGACTATGGACTATTCTATAGTCCAGACTATAGTACAAACTATAGTCAGGACTATGGAGTAGTTTATAGTCTGGAGGATAGAGTAGTCTATAGTCTGGACTATAGAATGATCTATAGTCTGGACGATAGAGTAGTCTATAGTCTGGACTATAGAATGGTCTATAGTCTGGACTATAGAATAGTATATAGTCTGGACTATCGACTAGTCTATAGTCTGGACTATAGAATAGTCTATTGTCTGGACTATAGAATAGTATATGGTCTGTATTATAGAATAGTCTATAGTCTGGATTATATAGTAGTTAATAGTCTGGACTATAGAATAGTCTATAGTCTGTACTATAGAATAGTCTATAGTCTGGACTACAGAATAGTCTATAGTCTGGACTATAGAATAGTCTATATTCTGGACTATAGAATAGTCTATAGTCTGGACTATAGAATAGTCTATAGTCTGGACTATATACTTGTCTATAGTCTGGACTATAGAATAGACTATAATCTGGACTATGGAATAATCTATTGTTTGGACTTTAGAATAGACTATAGTCTGGACTATGGTATAATCTATATACAGTACAGACCATGGACTGTTCTGTCTGGACTACTTCCATAAATACACAACGCGTAATCGATAAAATGTTATAAAAAATATACTTTAAAATCAGGCTTAGACAACGTGTTGCTTATAAATTTGCCTTTGCAACATGTTGCTAAATCAAATAACTTAAAAACTACCTTAAAAATATAAGAAAATATAAACACAATTTACCTATTGATGTCATAATTTTGATGTAAGTATGTTGGACAATTTTTAAAGGTGGGAAGATGTTTAATGAAATTTCAATAAAGAAAATTTTGTAAAAAAATTTTTGAAAAATTTTTAAACAAAATTTCTTATTAAACCAAATAACATGCTAAATTTAGGAATAACAGCCAATTGTTGTAGGGTAAAGGATATATATTTTTTTTAATTACAGTCAATTTTAAGGTCCAATAATAAACATGTTGATAAGCCAATTGTTTTTGTTTTTTTTTTATATATAGAAAAATTTATTGTTTTTGTTTTTTGAAAATTTGGCACTTTTTTTACAATTTTGTTTAATTTTTAAGGTAAATTGCGTTTTTTGAGATCTTTTAACTAGAAATAAATAAAAAAATTATATATTAAAGAGGAAGTTGTTATAAAGAATTTTTAAAATGTTCGTTTTAGGGGTTGGGGAAGATGAAAGGGGTTAGTTGCAAAAATACTAACGACATATTGATGGTTTTAAACGCGTTGCCTTTTTACGATAATAACAATTGTAATTGTTGTAATGTATATTATTGTTGTTATTGCATTTTGTACACTTTATTGACGAAGTTGTTGTTGGCGCTGATGATGATGATGTTGCTGATGATGACGACGATGATGATGTGGGTATGGGAATTTTTGTAAAATGATCAAATTGATCGTTATTTTCATTAAAATCATGTTCATTTGTATCCGTTTCTTGTGCACAATTACAAATTGTAGTTGTAGAGTTTAAGTTAATATTTCCATTACCATTGGGTGTACATTTCTTTAGAAGAGTTTTATTTAAAGGAGTTTTTATAATACAGGCGGTATTTATTGTACAATCTTCCTCTTCTTCGCCTGGTTCATTATCCTGCTGTTCATCAACATTTTGTGTTTCTTTCTCTTTTAGTTGAGCTTCCTGCAGCTGATCCTTTTGTTCTTTTTCTTTTTCATTATCTTCATGTTGTTGCTGTGCTGTTAATTTCAAATGATCGCCATTGGTTTCCTTAGAATCATGTACATAATGTTGACCATTTTGTTTGACAGCACCGGCTGCTGCATTAGTTTTGTCCAGTGTTGTTGTGGCGGAGTCTTTGGTTTTAAGGAAAAGATCATTGTGTTTTAAATCACATAAATTGACATTTTCATTGGAATTCGTTTTAGTTACATGAAGATTAAGGCTTGAATTGTTGTTGCTAATAGAACTAGTAGTGTTGCTAGTGCTGCTGTTGTTGTTATTGTTATTATTATTGTTGTTGTTGCTTGTTGATTTTGTTAATTCAATGGCCGTTAATTGCTGCTGCTGTTCCACACTCATTTGGAAGTTTTATTTTGGGGTTTTTTTTAATTAAGTCTTTTGTATTTTTAGTCAATTTTAACTGTTATTTTATGCCGCAACATGTTGCTTAGATTTTTAAAGGCAATATGTTGCTTTTCTTATTTTAAAGTTGTAAAAACACTTTTGATTTCTTGTTATTTGTCTTTGTTTTAGAGTATAATTTTTATATTTTATTGATTTTTTATTTAATAATAGTTTGGCAACATGTTGCTAGAGTTTTATTTTGGTATTTAAGCCATTTTCTTTTATTTTATTACACTGTTTCTTTAACATTTATTAAGTTTTGGTGCAACTTTATATTTATAATCACTTTTCGAAATGTTTAGTAATGTTTTAATGTATTCATAAAAATTTTTTTACAGTTTTTGTTGTTTGCATTCTTTTGTAGCTTAAGCTACATGTTGCTAAACATTTTATGAAATGTTTGCAAACAAATTAACAGTTTTCTTGAAGTATTATCTTTATTATTTACTTTTGTTAAAGAATTTTAGTTTACAATGTTGTGGTTTTGTTTAGCAACATGTTGCTTAAAGTTTTTCTTTACAAAATTTACTTTTTTCTTTTATAAAATTGTCTATTTTTTAGCAATTGTTGTTTTGAGAGATACTTTTTTCAATCACTTGGGTTGTACTTGAATTTAGAACTACAAATAACAGTTTTCTTCCAATCACTTTTTGCTTTGAAAATGTTCTGCAACATTTCTTTAAATGTCAGTTTTTTATTGAGAATTGTTCCAGTTATGTAATGTTTTATTAATGATCCAGGTTTCACACTGGTTTTTGTCTACACTTTTGAAAACATTTAGTAAATTTGTTTAGAAACAAAGTTTATTGTAGTTCAGAAATAGATGTTTAGTCACATGTCTACAAACATGTTGTCATGTGCTTTAGTCTTTCCTTTTTTTAATTATTTATAGATTTTTTTCACTTTTTAACTTTATTTTGCGTTTGAAATGTTTAGCAACATGTTGCTGTTTAACAAAATTCGTTCGATTCACTTAAGTAATAACACAAATATCAGTTTAAACACTTCTTTACTTGTAAATTAGGTTTCTCAAATGTTTGTAAACTTGTTTAGATACATTTTATTTTAACTCTTTTTTAAAGTCTTTGCTATTCAAGAATTCTTTGAGATTTTTTTTTAGTTTATTGTTTTTATTTTTGTGTCAAATGTTTTGTAACATATTTAGCAACATGTTTTTTGTGATATTAAAAATTTTTAAATGTTGCTAAACATATTTTTACTTTATTTGTTTATATTTTTTAATAAAAAATATTGATTTATTGATTTATTATTCATAAAGTTTATTTACAGTTAATTATACTTTATACAAAACCAGTCTTTTAATGTTGAGGATTATTTTAAATTGTTTAGGCAACATGTTGCTTATTATATTTAAGTCATTTTATTTCAATAATTAAAGAATTTTCATAAGATTTTAAGTGGGTAATAATAATAAACCACACATTTTCTTAAAAGTTTTTTGTTTCGAAACTTTTTATGAAAATTTGATCATTACAGCAGTTTTTTTAATTTATTGTTTATTAAGGCAGTATTTTTATATTTATAATATTTATTTAGCAAAACTTTTTTTTGTATAAAAATGTTTATCAAAACCTGTTTTTTATAAAATGTTTCTTCCTTTAAATACCAGTTAAATGCACTTATGTTTTGTATTAAGGTTTTTTAAAGATTATTTTTTATATATATTTTTTTAAAAATTATTTTTTAAATTTTTTTGAATTTATTTTTAAGTTTTTAATTGTTTTAAGTTTTAACATTTCCAAATGAGTGTTTTTTGTTGTTTTTGTGCTTTTCTTTTGTGAGTTATTAAAGTTGCCTTTAAATGTTTAGCAACATTTTGTTTATAAACTTGTTTATATATATTTTAATTTTAAATTTTATTGAATTTTAAGTCTTTTTTTTTTAAGGGACGGAGTGTTTTATTTATTTAATTTATGTACATTTTTTTTAAATATATATTTTTTAGGAAATTATTTTAAAATTTTTCGAAATTTTTTATTTATTGATTTTTTAGCAAAAATTCGTAATATTTTCTGTTTAAAAATATTTAAAATAAATATTTAGAATTAAAATTTAGTTATTGTATAAAAGTTTATTTTTTATTAAATTTAAGGCTAAAAAATTATAGATTTTTAAAAGTTTATTTAAGTGATTTTTATAAAGTAATTAAACTGTGATCGACTATAAAATGGAAACTTTTCAAAAACAAATGTGTTTGGTTTGTTTTTTCTTAATTTTAGTGTTTTTCGAAAGCTTCTTATCTTAAGCGATTGATAAAATTTTTGAAAAAAGCTCTTCTACAGAGAAATTACTTTCCTATTGTGTTTCAAACCTCTTTAGGGGATTGAAAAAGTGAAGCTTTTGAAGTTATCATAGATCAAAGGTCTTGTTAAAGCTTTATTTAGAAAAGGATCTTTAATTTTTTTAATCATTCTAGTTACTTGAGAAACGAAGCATAATACTGATAGGTTTGTTATCAAAATGGTTGAAATCTTAAAAGCTCCTAAAAAGCATTCTTAGTATAATATCAAGATTCCGCACTTTGAAAAAGCTTTTAAGACTTTCCTAATGCTTTAGTAGCTTCCGCTAGATCATTGTGTGAAGAATGTGAAAGAATGTTGCAGTTTCTTTTGAATCATAATCAAGTAGAAAGAGAAACAAATTTTGTTGCTGAAAGAATTGTTCTCAAAAATGCATGAAACTGTTAAAGCTCCCCTAAAGCTAACTTAGCTAAAAATCAAGATTCCACACTTTGAAAAAGCTTTTAAGACTTTCCTATTGTGCAGAATATGAAAAAATTTTGCAGTTTGTTTTGAATCACAATCAAGTAGATTAAGAAACAGAGCTTGCTGCTGATAGAATTGTTATAAAAAAGCTGTTACAAATCTAACTTAGTTAAGAATCAAAAAGCTTTTAAGACTTTCATAAAGCTTTAATAGCTTCCGCTTGATGATTTTGTGAAGAATATGAAAAGATTTCGCAGTTTGTTATGAATCACAATCTAGTAGAATTGCTGACAAAGCTTGTTGCTGATATAATTCTTATTAAAAATGTATGAAACTTTAAAAGTTCCCCTTAAAGCTTTCCTAATGCTTTAGAATCTTTCTATTGACAATTTTATTCAAGAAAGTGAAACGATTTTCAGATTTATTTTGAATCATAATCAAGTAGATTAAGAAGCAGAGTTTGCTGCTAATAGAATTGTTATCAAAAATGCATGAAAAGCTCCCCTAAAGCTTATTTAGTTAAGAATCAAGTTTCAGGGCTTAAACAAGCTTTTATAGCATTTTTAAGAATGATTTAATATCGTTCATATGATCAGATTTATTTATACACATTTTCTATAATTTAAAAGAAAGTTTTAAAGCTTTCTTTAGTGTAAAGTTTATTAGTTTATTTTGAATCAGAGTTATCAAAAATACTGATTTGCAGTTATTGGAATTTTTTTAAGTCCATTTAACTTGTTTAACTAATAAACATATTTAGTAAAGTTTTTAGCTAATGTGAACACAGTAGTTTTCATTTGTTTTTAAATAAAGTTTCTTCAAATGTTGAGTGCTTTTTGAAAATATGGAATTTTTTTGAAAACTTTAATTTTTGCATTAAGTTATTTTTAGAGTGAATATAGTCCAATAATTGAATTTTATTTTATTCATCATAAAATGTCACTTTTATCAGTTTTTTTTATTTTTTGATATTTTTCAAAAAGCTTTTTTTTACAATTTTAATGTTTTTAAATATAAAGTTTTTATAATAAATATTATTGCGTTTTTGCACAATTATTTTAGTTATTTTTTAAACTTTTTATTAAACTGTCTTTTTATAAAAATTTTTCATTATTTTTAAATCATTTTTATTATTTTTTTTAGAAAAAAATATTTTTTTAATTTTTTATTTAAATAATAATAATTTTTAAATTTTCTATAAAAAGTTTTTTGGTTCAATTTATTTATTTTTTCTAATAATTTTTATTGTTTAAATTATTTATTTTAAAATGTTAAAAAAAATAATAGATTTAATTTTTAAAATGTTTTTTTTTAAGTTTTTTATTTTTAAAAAGTTTCTTTTTTTAATTATTGTGTTCAAATTTTATTTGTTTTTTTTTAATAAAAATATTTTTTTAATTTTAAATATTTTATTTTTATAAAAAAACCTTTAAAGTAATTTGTTTTTCATTTTTTGTAAAAAAATATTTATTTTTTTATTTTTAAGTCCAAATTTTTAATAATTTATTATTTTTATTTATTTTAAAATTTTTTTTTGTTATAAATTTAAGCCAAAAATGTTTTAAATTTTGTTCTTTTTTATTTGTTTTTAATTTTATTTATATAAAAAAATTATTTGAAATATTTTTTTTATTATTTTAAGTCGAAAATTTATTACTTTTTTTATTACGTTGTAAAAAAATATATTTTTTATAATTTGTATAACAATTAGAATTGTAATTTAATACCAATTTATTGTTTTTTAATTATATAGTTTATTTATTTTTTATATATTTTAATTTAATATTTTTTTTTATATTTTTTAATTTATTGTTTATGTTTATTAATTACTAAATAGTTTTTCCATTTTTTTAATATTTTTTTTTTTAATTTTGATTATTTATTTCATTATTAAAATTGTTAAAATAACAATAAATATTAATTATTTATTTTATAAAAATTTAAATTAATTTATTTAATTTTAATTTATTTTATTTTATTTTAATTAATTTTAATTTATTTTATTTTATTTATTTAATTTTAATTTATTTTTATTTATTTAATTTTAATTTATTTAATTTTATTATTTATTTTATTTTTATGTATTTAATTTCAATTTATTTTATTTTTATTTATTTGATTTTAATTTATTTATAATTTTTTCTTCAATTTTTTATTTTATTTTCAATGTTATTATTATTATTATTATTTTGTGATAAATTTTATTTAATTTTTAATTCCTCTGCTTTTTTTATAAAATTTTTACATCCACGCCAACAACAACTCGAAGAAATTAGTATTTAAAAAAATTCTTAGAAAAAAAAAAAATTAAAAATAAACACCTTTTTTGTAGAAAATAAAAATAATTTTCAATAAATTTTGTTTAAAAAAATTTTTTATAACAAATTGTTTGTTATTTTTTCACACAATAACACTTTTTGCACTTGATTTCCGGTTACCGGGACATAAAAAACTACAACAATAAACGATTGAAAAAAACGCGGGTTTTTTAAATAAATTTTTATAGATTTATTTTTCTATTTTTTTATAATTATTTAAAATTTTTATAATTTTTTTTTAAAGAAAAAATCTTGTTTGTTAAGCGTTAAAATTCTTCAAATGGTATCCGCCGAAGAAAGTTTAACATACTAACAGTTGTTAAAGTTTAATTTTAAAGTTACAGCATATTTTGATATCATTAAATAAAATGTTGTTGTTTTTGTTTGTAGTTGTAGTTGAATTTTTTTGTTTTTGTTTCGATTTGAAATGTTACCGTTAGAGTTTGTATAGAGTAAATGGAAAATGTTATAATAGAGTAAGAGTTTTTATGTAAAATATATTTGAAAAAAAAAACATAAAATGTAACACACTAACACACACACACGAACACATAATCAAACTAATACCACGGCAAACACGAACGTAATGTAAAAAAAAAACAACGTTAGAGAAGAAAAAAGCAAAGCAAACAACATAAAAGTTCTTGCTTGTAAAAATGATGTGGTTGTTGTACTAGATGTTGCTATTTTTACTATGTTGTTGTAGTCTATTAAAATATTTTCTCTTGTTTCTTGTTGTTGTTATAGAGTAAAAGTAAGTAGTTAGAGTATAAATAACCCGCGTTAAACGTGCGTTTAGGCGAACGGTTTAAAGTGAAATGAAAGGAGTCAACGAAAGAAAGCCACCAACAAGCGCCAAAAACTATTTCATTTGAAAAATCTATACACAAACCCAACAGCAGCAGCAGCACCAGCAAGCAACATGACGACTAACTGACACACACTTACACACACAAACTAACAGCTAGCTCTAGCTACATTAACATAAACATTTTTCTATGAGTACAAAACAACATTTGAACAAAAAAAGAAATAAAACAAGAAGCCACCGCAACAGAAACCTACATAAATTAAAAAAAAAAAAACTTTTTTTTTAAATTTTCTAATGCTTTTTTTTAAAGAGCATATACATAATACAACAATATAAAAGAGTTTCACCTACACTTTATTTAAAAGACATGGGCCAGCAAACCCCAACAAACTAACAACTTACTAATACACCAACTCTCCCTTAAATAGACATAAAAAAAACAAAAACAACAAAACTTCCACTCTCACTTAAAACAAAAATTACTTAATACAATACTTAGAAAAAGAGAGTTTACACAAAAAAGAAAGAAAGCTTTACAAACAACAACAAGCGCATGGGAAAAACTAACAATTTACAGTTAGCTATAAAGAAAATTCCTCACTTACACTTCAAACACACACACATAAACACTTGCACTGTACATGCCTAAAAAAGCTTTAAATTTCTTTTAAACTCTTAAAAACAAAACATACAGAAACAAACAACCAGTTCTCTCTCTAGCTCTCATCACTCTTATAAAAAGCTTTTGTTTTTAACCAACAACTAATGAAGTTGCCGGCTTGTAAACATTGCCTCTCTTCCTAACTCTAACACATGTTAAATTAACAGTTATCTCTTACTGTTAACTTAACATTTGTTTACATGTTATTTAGTGTTTTTTCTTATAAAACAGTGTGTATTTATAAGAGCAAGAGCTCAAATGTTTACATTTCATTTTCTCTTTTATTAAACTAAAATTACTTAACCATTCTATTTCTCTTTAAAATAACAGCATTTCTAAATGAAAAAAAAGCTTTCCTCTTTTCAAAAAATTTCCTTTTCATAAGCAAACACAAAAGCAACAAAATTTCTTTTCCTGTTTTAATATCAAATGGGGAAAATACAGTATTTTCTGATATCGAAAAATACCGCGGTATTCCCGACGATATTTTCGGTGCTTTTTCTAGATCTATGGTGTAGTCTATAGTCTAGTCTATAATCTAGTCTACTGTCTAGTCTATAATCTAGTCTACTGTCTAGTCTATAGTCTAGTTTATAGTCTAATCCATAGCATAATCTATAGTCTAGCTTATAGTGTACATAGTTCATAGTCTAGTCTTTACACTGTTCTATCCTAGTTTAGACTATAGTCTAGTCTAGGGTCCAGTCTATGGTATACTCTATAGTACAGTCTTTAGTGTAGTCTATAGTGTAGTCTTTAGTATAGTCTATAGTGTAGACTATAGTATAGTCTAGTCTAAGATCTAGTCTATTTTCTAGTTAAAGTCTAGCCTATATTCTAATCTATAGTATATATTCTAGTCTATAGTGTAGTTTATAGTCTAGTCTAGGGTCTAGTCTATGGTCTACTGTATAGTAAAGTCTTCAGTCTAGGCTATAGGCCATAGCATAGCCTATAGTCTAGTATACATAGTTTATAGCTTCGTCTGCAGGGCAGTCTATAGTCTAGTCTATAGTCTAGTCTAGTCTACAGTCTAGTCTATAGTCTAGTCTATAGTCTAGTCTATAGTCTAGTCTGTAGTCTAGTCTATAGTCTAGTCTATAGTCTAGTCTATAGTCTAGTCTATAGTCTAGTCTATAGTCTAGTCTATAGTCTAGTCTATAGTCTAGTCTATAGTCTAGTCTATAGTCTAGTCTAGTCTATAGTCTAGTCTATAGTCTAGTCTATAGTCTAGTCTATAGTCTAGTCTATAGTCTAGTCTATAGTCTAGTCTATAGTCTAGTCTATAGTCTAGTCTATAGTCTAGTCTATAGTCTAGTCTATACTATAGTCTAGTCTATAGTCTAGTCTATAGTCTAGTCTATAGTCTAGTCTATAGTCTAGTCTATAGTCTAGTCTATAGTCTAGTCTATAGTCTAGTCTATAGTCTAGTGTATAGTCTAGTCTATAGTCTAGTCTATAGTCTAGTCTATAGTCTAGTCTATAGTCTAGTCTATAGTCTAGTCTATAGTCTAGTCTATAGTCTAGCCTATAGTCTAGTCTAGAGTCTAGTCTATAGTCTAGTCTATAGTCTAGTCTATAGTCTAGTCTATAGTCTAGTCTATAGTCTAGTCTATAGTCTAGTCTATAGTCTAGTCTATAGTCTAATCTATAGTATAGTCTATAGTCTAGTCTATATTCTAGTCTATATTCTAGTCTATAGTATAGTCTATAGTCTAGTCTATAGTCTAGTCTATAGTCTAGTCCATGGTCTAGTCTATAGTCTAGTCTATAGTCTAGTCTATAGTCTAGTCTATAGTCTAGTCTATATTCTAGTCTCTAGTCTAGTCTATAGTCTAGTCTATAGTCTAGTCTAGTCTATAGTCTAGTCTAGTCTATAGTCTAGTCTATAGTCCAGTCTAGTCTATAGTCTAGACTATAGTCTAGCCTATAGTTTAGTCTAGTCTATAGTTAACAGTAAGAGATAACTGTTTGCTGTCTAGTATATAGTCTAGTCTACAGTCTAGTCTATAGTCTTGTCTAGTCTATAGTCTAGTCTATTCTATAATCTAGTCTATAGTGTAGTTAACAGACTGTACAATCGTCTATTCTATATACATATATGTCTATTGTCTGGTTTATAGTCTGGTATAAGGTCTACAGTCTAGTCTAGGTTATAGTCTGTACAATTTATTTTATATTTATGTATATAGTCTGGTATATACTCTAGTCAATAGTCTAGTATACAGTCTAGTCTATAGTCTAGTATACAGTCTAGTCTATAGTCTAGTATATAGTCTAGTTTATAGTCTGATCCACAGCCTTGTATATAGTCGGAGTATAGTCTAGTTATCAGTATTCCAAAATTTCAATTTTCATTGCCTGAATAAAATGAATAAAAATTTAAATTTTCTTTTCAAAATAAAAGCTTTTAGAGTAACAATATACTTATTACAACAAAAATAGTTAAATAATTTCTTTAATAATACAAACAACATCAAAAAAATGTAGTTTAAATATTAAATGCAGCCATGCAACTATCTATTTATATAAAATAGTGTGCTTGTGCCCCAGTGTCGTTGCAAGTCATTTTTGTATTAATAAAACTTTGTTTCAGGTTTGCTTTTTTTTTTTGCTGCACTTTTATCTTGTCTTGGTAATTTTTCCTTTAGCTTAAGTTTCATTTATTTTTGGTGTTGTTGTAGTTGCTTTGGTATTAAATAACATGAATTGTTTTTGTTGCAGTTGTTGTTGTATGCTTTTCACTTCCTGATGTCTTAGGTTTGCAATATGTTGCTATGTATTTGTTTTTGTGCAGTTTCTTTCTTGTTCACTAAACAAAAATCACTTTTATTTTTTTTTAAATTTCTTGTTATAAATGAGGTTTTAAATTAATTATGTTGTTGTTTTTTTAGCAAAGTAAGCAATAAAATCAAAAGAAAATTATTAGTTTCTGGTTTTAATAAATATTTACCTATAAAATGCTTAAAATTCATGTGAATGATTAGACTTTAAATGGCATAATAACAATAATAAAAGAGGCGGTACTTTATTTGGCTTCCATTAATTACCCATACAAAAATTATAAGAAAAGCGGGTGTTAATTTAAAGAAATTTGAAATATTTAAAAAGAAATTTTGAATTAAACTTTAACACAGTAAGAAAATTGGAAAATTTTAAAAAGTTTTTTAATAAAATATTAGTTTTAATAATTTAAAAATTTTCTTGAAGCAAAATACTGTTTAAGCAACGTTTTAGCCATAATTTACATATTTTCTGTTGGAAATAGTGTTACAAAGAAAATTTCCTTTCTAACCATGAAATAATTTTGGTGTGGTGAGTTTCTTGAGAAATTCACCACTCTCCAAAAATAGCTGAAAATGCTAAAATATTAAAAATTTGTAATATAAAAACCAATATAAACAATATTTTTTAATAAAAAACAATTTTATTAAAGAAAAAACCTTAAAAAATCTTAATTTTTAGCTTTTTCCTAGCCGTGGTCAATTTCTTATAAAACTCACCTTACCTGGATTTTTAGTTTAAAGAAGAGGAAGTGTATAATTTGATAAATAACTAGGGAAAATGTTCTTTTAGTGTAAAAACATTTTCAAGGTGTGGTGAATAAACTCCAACATTTTAGTTAAGAAAAATAGGTGTTTTAAAATGAATTTTATTGAAGTTAAGCAATATTTTTATGTTATTAAACATAAAAACTTACATATGCAGCATTTTTCCAGGCGTGGTGAATTTCTTATGAAACTCACCACACTTTAAAAATGACTCATTCAGAAAGGAAATTAGCGTAGATTTATAAAACTTGAATAGTTTAAGAAAAATTAAGCTTAAAATACTATAAAAAATAAAATTTATAAGAAAAAATTTATAAAAATTGTATTAAAAAAGTTTTAAGTTGTTAAACTTAAGATCTTCCTAATCATTCAAATGTTGCTTCATTAAACTATCCCTGTATGAGTTTGAAATGTATCATCCATTTCTATAAAACCCCCTTTCCCTCTGTCCCTTGCATATAAACCAAACTGCCTGCCCACACTAGTAAAATGTATTGAAAATGAAAACAATAATAATAACAGATCAAATATTCATGACTGTTTTTGTACGTACAACATTTTCGTACATACTCTCGCATATAAATTGTAAATTGCACATACACACGTCCATACACACATGCATATTTACATGGCAAGTGAAAGTTCTGCACATATAAAAACAAAACCAACAAAATAAATACACAAAAAAAAACATGTACATTTTGTTATTACATACACTCGCACTCTACACTCATTCATATTGACTTACTCTGTGCATTCACAAAAAAATATATATAACAGCAAAAACAACAACAACAAAAAACTGTGAATTACAAAAAAAGTATAAACGAACGAACGTCCGTGACATCGATTACGTACATTGAACGTTGAAAATGTTGTGTCGTCGTCGTAGTTGTTGTCGTAGTCGTCGTATGTA